GGTTTACTCCTTTATATTTTGACCCTTTTAGTGAAAATTCTGGTTCCGCCACTAACAATATCCCTGTATAAAGTCAAACTATTAGTTTTATTTCAAATAAATGTTTGTTCAATCCTTTTACATCTAAAAAATTATCAACTTGGAACCATAAAAACTAAAGTGCCCAGTGATAATACCAATTGGGAATAAGCATTTATTTGAAATAAAACTAATAGTGTAATTTGAAAGTAGGTTTGCTCAACGTACAAAAGTAGGTTGCATCACAAAGCAAATCTGCCAACTCAAAAGTTAGAAACACCACATGTGCACCCAAATCTGGATAACAAAATTAGTCAGCAATGAGATTAGTTTACTTTAATTGACCAGACAACTAAAAGAAAGACATTTTCAAAACCTTTGCAGCAATAGTAAGACATAGGTTAAAACCATGAGAGAGCAAGGTTTAATTCAAGCAAAACTAAAAATGATAAGTGATTTTTTTTCATCTAACTATTGGTGGATAGCTTTAGGGTCATTTTATCTCACCTTATCCCATCAAACTTGGTATTATTTTATCCCACTTTCTAGGTAGGATAAATTAGTCTAGGGATTATAATTCCGAGATAATTTAGTCCACGTATCAAATGGCCCCTTAGTACTAATGTTGATGAGAGGTTGAGAATAATTGAGGTGCCCACAAACTGACAAGGACACCAATATTATGAGAGAGATAAATGGACAGAAAGCAAAGGGAAAACAAAGAAAAGAAAGGAGAGGTTGAACATGCACTGAACTTAGAATTTTGAATATTTCCAATTACAATTAACAAAAAGATTATGGAAGACACTGAAACTTTTAAAAATCTCAGCCAACATTCCATCTTCCAGACAACCTTTTCTTCTTGGTACAAAAGAAAATTCTAAAAAAGCACATCCATTATCTTTTATGTTTGTTGATGACCCAAAGGCGACTCATGCAACAATTAGTTAAAAGATTCATCTAACTTCTCCTCAAACCCCTATATATAATGATACAAGAAATGTTCTTAAACCATCAACCAAAACTTAAAATATTTCTCACTGACCATCACAATTCACAATACAACAATATTCCACTGCAGAATCAGAATCACAATGAAGAACTTACTCAGTGGAAATGTGGTGAATATTCCAATGAATTCAGCTGTATGCTCATTTGAAAAGCAGCCAGAAAGACTATTATCCCTATCTCCTTGCCAAGACCATATTCCATCTGCAACTTCAAAGATTTTATCTAAATTAAAGCAAAGTGAGTATTTCCGCTGTCTCTTGACGAAGAATAATCAACTCGTTCTTGTACTATTGCTGAGTATTAATGACCCTTGAATGAAGAAATCTTAAAGATGAAAATATTCTTGAATATGCAGGAAAATCTGTGATTGGTAAGATGACCAAACTGGGAGAAAGGATGGACTGTCTTGCACAAGGTATTCGCGAACATGGTAAGCACTTATATAGTTATATTTTTTATATACAACATTAAAAAAAGGGTTTGAAATTGAAGATGAAAAAGAGTATTTGATTCAGTTGTGTTTGGACATGAACGAACTTGGAAAAAAAAATGATGTTTAGTGTCTTATAACCAATTTTCACTTGACATACTCATCAAACAAGTTTTTCAATATTGGAAATACTGGCAATCAAATTTCAATTTGCATATAATGATTTCAGTAGTTGCAAGTGAAGCATGGCCAAACTCAAAGAATGTAAATCTAAAGAACACAGATAAGTGAGTCATGATGTACAAAACCATGCCAAAAAGCACTATTTACATGTATATACGATAGAAAGTATTGATTGTATTGACGTTAATGTTTCAAATTTAATTGTGCAGTGAGCCTTAGCCCGAAGCTAACAGAAACTGTGAAGGGAAAATTGAGCCTTGGGGCCAAAATTCTTCAAGTAGGAGGTGTTGGAGAGAATATTCAAGCAGAAGTTTAGTGTTAGAGATGATGAAAAGCTATTGAAAGTTTCTCAATGCTATTTATCGACGACAGCTGGTCCAATGGCAGGCCTTCTCTTCATCTCTACTGATAAGATTGCTTTCTGCAGTGAGCGATCGATAAAGCTCTTATCTCCAACTGGAAAGTTGCTTAGAATCCGTTACAAGATACCCCTCTGCTCTGGTTTTCTTTCATCTCTAATTTTCTAGCCATGTAAAGCATAATCTAATAGGCCGGTTAACAATTGTAGGTATTGATCCCAATAAGTAAGACAAAGAAAGCAAAAGAAAGTGGAAATATGGACAAGCAATCACAGAAGTATATACAAGTAGTTACAGAGGATGATTTTGAGTTCTGGTTTATGGGATTCCTTAATCATCAAAAGACTCCGAGATATATGCAGCAGGCAATTTCAAGTTCTTAAAGCAAGCTAAGAAGATAGTTTTTTCTCTTCTTTTTTTCCTCATTTTGTTTCAAATTCGCCCATTCATCAATGTAAAATGTTGATGCAGAAACGAATTTACAGATCTGTTCAAACTTGTAACTAGCTCCATTGCTCAAAGGAGGTTTTAGGTTTTGTAGGCTTTAAGCCTTGGGAGTTAATACTGATGTACAGATTTATTGTAAAACTAATGTAAACAGAAGACTAATTCATGTCTTGGCCACAGTTGTCCAACCAAAATTCTAAGATTTGAGAGTTAAATCATGTGTTATTATAGTTGTAATAGCTTAAATCAAGTTATAGTTGTTGGACCGAGTTTGAGGTGTGGGAGTTGAGAAAAGTGATAATTGTTATAGTTGCACATCTGAATAGCTTTGCTGCGATCGCAAGCCTTCTGCAGGGAACGCAGCATAGGAAGAAAGCCGTGATCCCGGTCCTTGGGGCACATTCGTAATTTTGTGAAGCTGAGCTCAATACCTCAACAGCCACATAGAGTGGTGGTTGCAGCAACTAGGCCCACGATCGTGATTTTTGAGCTTGGGCTTACTGCCTCGCAGACTTGCTTTGCTGCGATCGTGAGCCATGTGTTGTGATCGCAACTTCCTTTGTTACAATGCAGAAATCACTAATGTTGAGATCACGGCTCCCTTATTATCATAGCACCAGTTCATTTTGAACAGTGTTTCGCTTGCTAGAGCAGCAAATGTAGATCCACCAGATGAGCAGATTCCGATGTGGTTGAGCCGGTGGGACCAGCTTAGGCATCGGTTGTGTTCATTCTGATTTCAAGCCTTCACGAGACTTTGGCCCAGATATTGACCGTATACACTAGCCTTGCTCATGCGGTTTCTGTTTAGTTTATCCCCATATCGAGTGAGTGAACAGTCTTAAGGCGACACTTATAGCCATGTTTTAAACACCCACACCATCCAACTAACTCAATTTAGTCCCAAGCATGCATCCCATATCAAATGCCTCCTACATAGCCATATACAATTAGCAACAAATACAGTTAATGCTTTTACACATCATAGGCATTAATTGAATGCACATAAGAAATAAAAAAGAAACAAGTTCATTATAATAGTAACATCCTGATGAAACTATAACAATGGAGTAGGAAGCAACCTCAATCAAATCAAATTATCAAATTGAATTCACTGCTTCACGTGCTTCACATATATATATGTTCATAAGCCTTATTATATTTTAATTTAATTATAATACCTTTCTTGAGATTTTTTTTCCTTTAACATGTATGCTCTTCGTTTTGCACATAATAGAGGTTCATTTCATTTTATTTTAGTTTCTCTGTAACTAAACTCATTTTTCTACAAAAAATGACCAACTAGCTTGTTGGATCGTATAATTCCGAAAACGAAAGAAAACACATTGCAAAACTCTAAAATAATTCTCTCTGGGCCAATTTATTGTTAGGGGTTTGCCTTGAATTTCTAATATATTAGGACTCTCTTCCGGACGAAGTGAAAAAGACTCCTAAAAAGACAAATCTCCTTCATATGCATTATCCTTTTCGCGAAAGAGAAGTTTTACACTTCTACAAATTGAAGATACCTCCTCACAACAATAATAAGACATCCTCCACAATATAGTCATTAAAAAAGTTCTGTTTAGTGGGAGATTATTCTCTCAATAGTTTTTATATTTTCTTTTATATTAGTTTTATTATATATAAGTCAACTGACCAAAACACATTATAACATTCTCTTTAGTATAATTTTATTTTTGCCGTCTGATTGTCGTCGCCAAGGATTGCTTTATTAGCTTCCACATGATGACTTGTTATTTTTTTGTGCCTCATTTTGAATTTTTTTTAATTTCTATAGATATTTCAAAGTAATGTTGTCCAAAGACAAAAGTTGGTCAAACTATGGAGAAAATGAGTTAGTTTACTGAAAACCTTTAAATCACATGTCTCTGCGTGTTTTGTTCCACATAGAGTCAGCATGAATGCCTATTCTGCCTTTACACCTCAAGAGGAGATTAAAACAAATAAACACAAAGCAAGATAACTGCCGTAAAAGAAAAGACACTATATAAATCCAGACAAGCACCAGAATTGTTGACCCTACATAGCAGATTGAAATATTTGAATGGCTATTTTTTTCCTTAGCCTGATTTACAAAGCAACAATTCTAAATGGATGACTCACTCATGTTTCAAAAGGGGATTTGAGTCAGGTGGCGGTCATGGATCACCACTAAACTGTTATCTTGTCAACTTTAATCATATAAAACTAATCAAACTAACTTGGGATAATTTTTGAATATTCGAGAAGGATTCTTTTAGCAATTTAAAGTTTAGAGTTATTACAACATCCCTCTAGAGAGTAGAAACTATTAATTTTAGTTTAAACAAATGCTTACTCATAAATCCTTATCTATATAAAAATTATCGGTCGATTTGTATGGAAAGAAGTAAAGTCGATTTAGGGTGAATTAAGCAACCATGACTTAAATATTCAATACTCTCTTACTTTTGCTCAACTTACAAAAGTAGGTTGCATCATAAAGCAAATCTGCCAACTCCTCCTCAAACACCTATATATAATTCTACAAGGAATGTTCTTAAGCCATCAACCATTCTATGTCAAATTTCTAAAAACTTAAAAGATTGATCTGACATAAAGAGGAGGGATGAGAATAATTAGGCTTGATGGCAAAAGAACAAAGGGATGCCATTTTAATGGATATTTGACAATGATAGACAACTCTAAAGAGTAGTTGACAGCCATTTAGCCAATAATTGACATTCGCATCTGTAGTCCAAAAATATTGGTAATATTAGGTTAAATATGCCAAACAAGGGAAAAGGGGTCTATTTTGTGCCAATCTTTTACCCGAGTGGCATATAATTTGTCAAAGCTTGTCCAATGGCAGGCCTTCTCTTCATCTCTACTGATAAAATTGCTTTCTGTAGTGAGCGATCAATAAAACTCTTATCTCCAACTGGAAAGTTGCTAAAAATCTGTTACAAGGTACCCCTCTGCTCTGTTTTCCTTTCATGTGTAATTTTCTAGCCATGTAAAGCATAATCTAATAGGCCGGTTCATAATTGTAGGTATCGATCCCAATAAGTAAAATAAAGAAAGCACAAGAGAGTGGGAATATGGAAAAGCGATCACAGAAGTATATACAAGTAGTTACAGCGGATGATTTTGACTTATGATTTATGGGATTCCTTAATCATCAAAAGACTCTGCAGCAGGCAATTTCCAGTTCTTCAAGCAAGCTAAGAAGATAACTTTTTCTCCTTTTCTTTTTCATTTTGTTTCCAAATTCGCCTTTCATCAATGTAAAATGTTGATGCAAAACGAATTGGATCTGTTCAAACTTGTAACTAGCTCCATTTTTCCGAGGTTTTCGGTTTTGTAGGCTGAGCCTTGGGCGTTAATATGTACAGATTTATTGTAAAACTAATGTAAACTGAAGGCTAATTCATGTTTTGGGACTTGGCCATAGTCATCCAACCATTTTCATGAAACCTAGGGTGAATCTTGATTCATCCATCTCCTTCACATCATCCCCACAGGTCACAGCATAATCATACACCAACCATAATCTATAAAGAGCTCAATTCCTCAACAGCCCCATAGAGTGGCGGTCTAGCAACCGGGCTCACAATCGCTATTTTTGAGCTTGGGCTTGCTGTCTCACGGACATTGCCTGCTGTGATCGTGAGTCATGTGTCGCGACCACAACTTCCTCCTCTGTACTGAGCTAGACTATGCAGAAATCACTCATATTGTGGCTTCCTTACTATGATCACAACACTAGTTCATTTCGACCATTGTTGCTCTTTTCTCACCCACAGTCCATTTTGATCCCCGTAGAGAGCGAGCGAACAATCTTAAGGCAATACTTGTAGCCATATTTTAAACACTCACACCATCCAACTAACTTAATTTAGTCCCAAGTATGCATACAACATCTCAAATGCCTCCAATATAAAGAGATACAATTTTGAAAAAGTAGTTCGTTATAATATCCTTATTTTTTTTAAAAGTAAGAAGTTGTATTAATAAGGCATCCAGAAGATGCTGATTACAAAAGATGGCAAAAGTGTACAGTGTCTAAGAAGACACTGAATTAGCTCATGTACAGTGTTTAAGCTAGGATCAGGGAGCTAACAAAATCCAAAATATTATTCACACTATTAACAGGAGTATGGAAGTTCCAACTAAACAAACTAACTAAACATAGCTTTTAAAGAGTGTATTGGAGTTGAGATTCCATCAAAACATATGTGGTTCCTTTCATTCCATAAGCACCAAAAAATTGCAGATGAGATCATTCTCCAGATCCTCTTGATGGCTTTATCAAATCTAAAAAACTTCCTGCTAACATATGCATTTTTGATGTGGAAAGGCATCACCCATGCTGAGCCAAAAATAGAGTAGAAGAAATTCCAAATGTCACCTGTTATTGGGCAATGGAGAAATAAATGGTTGACACTCTCTCAATTTTGCTGGCATAGATAGCATTTATTAAATAGTATAATACCTCTTCTTCTTAGGTTATCTTTTGTTAAGCAAGATTCTCTGAGAGCTAATCAGGTGAAGCAAGATACTTTGAGTGGTTGTCTAGTCCTCCAGACATGTTTTCAAGGCTAGTCCTCAAGTATCCCATTCTGTGAACATATGAGGTTATAGATGGCTTTGACTGTGTACTTTCCTCCTATTGAATTGACCCAGATGAGTCTTTCAGGTTGATGCTCTTTAATTTTGCATTCTTCCAATGTGGACAATATTAGAAGCAGATCATTCATTTCCCAGTCTTGGAGGTTTCTTCTGAATAGAGGATTCCAAGTGTTCCCCTCCCTGTTGTGAGCATTCAATGAATTGTAACAACCAGCTATCTGATACAACCCAGGATATGATTCTCTCAGTGTTGTGTGACCTATCCATATGTCCTCCCAGAATTTTACATGAGAGCCATTGCCAACTTTGTATGTTATTTCTCGGAAAAAATCATGTTTCCCACCTCATGTGGGGCATTGTTTTCTTTGGTGCACCACTGGTTTTGAGCTCCATGCTTTGTCGTAATGACATCCTCCCAATAGGCAAGTTCAAGCTGCCCATACCTCCATAGCCACTTCATTAACATGTTTTTGTTATGGAGCTTTAGGTTCCTGAGTCCCATTCCCCCATCATATTTAGGCCGAATAACTTTGGCCCATTTCACCAAAGGGAATTTGTGAGTTGTGTTGTTGCCCTCCCATAGAAACCTCCTTCTCAATCTTTCTAGTTGTTTCAGAACTGAGCTTGGCATAGGGTATAACGACATACAATAAGAAGGGATGCTGTCAAGAACACTGATAATTAAAGTGAGTCTGCCACCCATTGAGAGATACTGCATTTGCCAAGCTGAAAGTCTCTTTTCTACTTTTTCTACAACATCACTCCATACACCGATTGATTTATATTTAGCACCCAAAGGTAAACCTAGGTATGTAGTGGGGAGAGATCCTATTTTACAACACAAGAACTCGGCCAATTCTTCTAGGTTGGAGACTTCATTGATTAGGTATATGGTGCTTTTAAGCATGTTGATCTGTAATCCAGAAATGCCTTCAAAGATGAGCAAAGTGAGATTGAGATGAGATACTTGGAGTCTCTCTGCTCCACAAAAGATCAGTGTGTCATCTGCAATAGCAAATGGGAGACAGTGACTAAATTAGCTGGATTTCTTCCCACTTGAAACCCCTGTATCCAATTCATCTCCTTGGCTTTGACCAGCATTTGTGTAAGGCCTTCCATGGCCAGTAAAAGGAGGAATGGAGAAAGGGGATCTCCTAGCCTGAGGCCTTTTTGTGGGGGAGAAAAGACCTACCGGACTCCTATTCACCAGCACATAATAGAGAAAAAGACCCTCTATAATCCCTCAAAATTTTAATAGCCCATATTTTTTCTCCATTGACACAAGATGTTCCTCTGGCCCAAACGTATTATATCTAATAGCCCGAAATGTCTATTTTATATATTTTTGTGTATAGTGACAGTCTATTTTGTATAGTCGCAGTCTATTGTATATAAATTGTATAGTGACAGTCTATTTTGTATAGTCGCAGTCTATTGTATATAAATTGTATAGTGACAGTCTATTTAGTATAGATTTTATATAGTGACAGTCTATTGTATATATTTTGTATAGTGACAGTCTATTTAGTATATGTTTTGAATATATTTTATAAAGTGACAATCTATTGTATATAAATTGTACAATGATAGTCTATTTTATATATTTTCTGTATAGTGATAATCTATTTTGTGTAGATCTTCCACCACATTCGTGCCTTGTATACTACCACTTACCAAGACATAATTGGAAAATCAAATGACCAATTGCATATCTGAATTTAAAAGTTATAACCAGAATTGTATTCTTTTTTTCATAAATTTCCTTTTCTTTCTATTTTGATGAAACCATGTAAGCCAAAAAGGATTATAGCTTGTCAGGAAAATAATAAAAATAATTATATGGTCCCTCATAAAATTTGCCAATTGGCAACATTGGTGATTGATGTAATTCTTCTTAATTCATACTTCTAATGTTTTCAGTGGGAGGATTATTTAATGACACTAAAACCCAAAATTCTTGCAAATGAAAAATAATGTAAATGGTTATACGTGTCCTCTGGCTAATTGTCATGCTTCACGGTTAAACAAACAAATAAAAAGAGCAAAATTCTGAAAAGCAAAAATCCCCAGCTACTTGTTTCACTGAAAAGCAGAACAAGCCTCAAGATTTCACCAGAAAATTCATAAAACCCCAAGATGTTTTTCTGCAAGATTTTACCTTTAACCAATAAAGCAAACATCTTTATAATCCTCATATAAAACTACGTCTTCCACCCCCTTCTGCTCCGATCATCTTGTTGATCATTCTTATTTTGTGGGATATTTGAAATTTTTGGGAAAAAATAGAAAACATGTTTTTTCTTATAAATTTTCCTTACTCCAATTGATGAGAAACCTGGGAAAGAGAAAGGACATAGTTAAATCCTTTGTTTGTCAATATAGGTGGGCAACTATCCATTCCGACAAACTCCAGTTTGTCAATTTCGGTGGCTAGCCGCTAGAATTATTTTTGGGCTATAAAATATATATTATAATTTTTGGCTACCGGATATTATAAGTTTGGCTCGAGTGACTATAAATGAATTTTTCTCCACATAATACTTTACTGAACAAATGTTGAAATAAATTCACCTAATCCATTTGTTACCAAATCTCATCATCTTCAGCATGTTGATAAGGTATGACCAGTTTTGATTGATCAAAATCCTTCTCAATATCGAGTTTGCACAGTAAGACAGTTTCCATATTTTTGATTCTCCAATCCAAAACTTCATTTGCAATCAAGGATGCATCTGTGATTTGTCTATTTTTGATGAAGGCACTTTGTTGACCAGAGCCTAGCTTCCCAATAACTCTTTTCATTCTTTCAGCAAGGATCTTCGCCACCAATTTATAGACATTACTTATTAGACTAATTGGTCTGAAATCCTTAAGCTCAACTGCACCTTTCTTCTTTGGGATGAGTGTTATGAATGAAGTATTACAAGATCTAACCATATGACCATGTTGGTGGTCATGGTTAAGGGCTCCCATGAAGTCCAACTTGAGAACCTCCTAGCATTTTTGAAAAAATACCATGGTGTAACCATCAGGGCCTGGTGCTTTGTCTGAGGCATAGGAATTTAAGGCTTCAAGGACCTCTAGTTCCTCAAAAGGAGATTATATGTCCTCTCTATCATTTGAGCTGAGTGTGTGTAAACCTCTAAATTCTACTAAAGGTCTCCATGCTTCCTTCTCTATGTACAAATTTTGAAAGTAGCACAAAATTTCCTCCTTGATTAATCCTTTATCTTCAATTATCTCTTCTCCCACCTTGAGTAGATCAATACAGTTACCCCTTCTTCTTAAGTTTGCCATTTTTTGAAAGTACTTTGTGTTCCTGTCTCCATCCTTCAGCCATAGACACCTGGACTTTTGCCTCCAGGAGGTTTCCTCAGCAATTGCCAATTGTTCAAGTTCCAATTTTAAGTTGAATGATTTCATCTTTTCCTCTGGTGTTTGAACTCTATGCTTTGTTGTTTGCTCTAGTAATTGCAAATCAGCAAGAGCTTTGTTCCTTTTGGTTTTCACGTTACCGAAGACTTCTTTGTTCCATCAAGTAAGGTCCTTCTTTAGGCTCCTTAGTTTTTGGATAAGGATGAAATCTAGGTTGCCAGTAACTGAATAAGATTGCCACCATCCCTTTATCTTGTCCAAAACCCCTCTGATTTGAGCCACATATTCTCAATTTTGAAATAAGAAGGTGTAGTTTCCCAATCTCCACTCTCCAAAAGGATTAGCTTATGATCTGAAATTAATCTAGGCATAGCAATTTGGTACACATTCTTGAAAATTTCATTCCATTCAATTGAGAATATGTAACGACCCGGCC